AAAGTGCCGGGGGTGGCGGCAGCGGCGGCGGCTGGGAAGGTCGGTGCCGCAGCGGGAGGGGCGACAGGGACGGCGATGGCGACGCCGAAGGCTCCGGGCGGGGCTACGGCGACGCCCAAGCCTGCGGGAGGAGCAGGCGGAGGAGGCGCGTTCAGCATCATGGCGGCGCTCAAGCACGTCGGGGGCGGCAAGGCGGTGCGTCGCGTTGCGTTCCCTCTTCCCTCCGCAACCCTCCCTTCGTCCCTCGTCCCGACCGACCCTTCAATACGCCAACTGCGACACTGACAATGGCTGCCTGACTCGTCGTCCGCGCACAGGCCAAACCCGCTGCGACGCCCCCCGCGCCCAAACGCCCCACCGAGAGCCGCATCGTCAAAGAGTGCGTCCCCTCTCTTCTTCTCTCGGCTGCGCTCTGTCCCCGCGGACTGTCCTGATTGCTCGCTACGTCCCCACCCCCACCCCCGCCCCCGCACCGTCCGTGCAGCACTGCGCCGAAGAAGACGCGCGAAGAGCTCGAGCGCGAGTGGAGCGAGCGGAGGCGGCGCGAGAAGCTCGAGCGCGAGACGGCGTTGGTGCGTCTCCTCCTCTCTCTCTCTCTCTCTCCTCCTTCTCCGTCCGACTCTCTCCCGCTCCGTCCCCGCACTGACTCCCGCTCTCTCTCCCCCGCGCGCGCGCAGTCCCGCCCACTCGACCTCCTCGCGCACGTCCGCGGCCTGAGCGCGTTCGAGCACCCCCTGCGGGCGGAAGTCCGCGCGATGCGGCAGCGCGACATGCAGCTCTACAGCAACCGGCACTGCCTCCCGCGGCTGAACAACTTTGGGAGCGTGTTCAGCTTGTTCCCGAGGGCGGAGGGGACGTTGCCGCTTGACGGGGAGGGAGGGGGGGAGGGCGAGGAGAGGGGGAGGCAGTAGAGGGGGCGGGAGAAAAATCGGATGCATGCTTGCTGTGGTCGGTGCGCACCTGCGCTTTTCGACACGCAAGGGAGACGAGACGAGACGAGACGAGGGGAGAAACGGCCCGCCAACGAGCTGCTGTTTGTACACGCTCCTGCGTACCGCTACAAGACGCGCCATCCACTGCACGCACGCACTCCTCACCACCTCAGTTCAGTGATCCCCGCGCGTCGTCGCGTACTTGTCCTCGAGCCCCTCCAAGCCCCCGAAGCCCTTCTCGCGCCCGTCGAGCCCGAGGTGCGCGTCGGGCGAGTCCGACTCGGAGAGGTGCGCGCGGAGCTGGGCGTGCGAGGCGCGCGCCTTTGCGAGCTGGATCTTGAGGGATTCTTGGGTGAAGAGGTAGCTGCACGGAGGGGACTTGCGGGTGAGCTGCGGCGCAGAGAAGAGGGAGAGCAGGACAAGGGGTGGGACGGACCCGACGACAGAGCCTGTGACGAGGCCGGAGAGGAGGCTGTCCGTGGGCCCCCCCGGTCAGCTAGGAGGCGCGACTTGGTCTGGAGGGGTGAGGGGGACACGAACCCGAGGTTGCGGCTCTGCTTGAGGAGCCTGCTCGTGATGAACCCGCTGAGGAACCCGGCGCAGGTGCCCGCTGCGACGCCTGTTCGAGTGGATGGAGAGAGACGCCGTCGATGATGAGGGGTCAGGCCCGCCGGGGGGGGTCAAGTGGGGGCGGGACGCACCGTCGAGCTGGGCACGGCGGTTTGCGTCGCCAAAGTCCTTCAAGGGGAGTTCTGTCGGTGATGGAGTAGGGGTGGCCATGGCTAGTGCACAACTCTGTGCGAGGCGAGTTGCGGAGCGGAGCGACGAGGAGCCGGTGAAAGAGGCGACGGGGCTCAGAGGGAGAGGGGCGCTGGTACCAAGCGGCTAAGAGGTGCAGCTGAGTGGTACTCGTCAAACCACGGTGTGTAACCCCCGAGTGACTGTGACTTTTACAGTCGAGGTCAACGCACCCTCGCCATCCTCATCGCCTCGTCGCCTCCTCCCCCACACTTGCTCCCTGCCTCGCCATGGACGAGTTGACCGGCCTCCCACTCGCCTTTGGCAAGAAAGCTCCCCTCAAGAAGCAAACAGACACGGCAGCCCGCTTCGAGACGACAAAGCGCCGTGACCCTTCCCCTCCTCCTCCCGTCCGTCCAGTTACTCCCATTGCCCAAGTTCCCCCGCTGACCGTGCGCCTTCCCTGTCAGCAGCCCACACACAACACCGCACTGCCACCCGCGCCCAGCAATCCTGCCGCACCCGAGGGCGACACACCCGACGCGGCGAGTCTGAGTGCGTCTCCTGCAGCAGCACACGAGGATGACATCCCCATCACGCACGAGGTCATCCTCAAAGACCACGTCAAGGTGCGCCCCCACCCCCCTCTTGACTCGTCCCCTGTCCACCCCACCCGCTCACCCCCACCTCCTTGCGCGCAGACCGTCTCGGCGCTCTCGATCGACCCGGCAGGCGCACGCGTCGTCAGTGGCTCGTACGACTACGACTGCAAGCTGTGGGACTTTGGTGGCATGAACGCGAGCTTCAAGCCGTTCAGGACGTTCGAGGCCAGGGCGGGACACCAGGTGCGCCGCTGCCCTGTGTCCCTCTCGCTCCGCTCTGGCGCCCTTCGCGCGAGCTCGCGCTTGGACTGTACTGATGGCAAGTCGAGCTGCGCAGGTCCTCGACGTGCAGTTCTCTACCACGGGGGACTCGTTCCTGGCGGCGACGGGCGCGACGCAGGTCAAGCTCTACGACCGCGACGGCCTCGAGATGTGCGCCCTGTCCTTCTTCGCTTCTCCTTGTCCTGCGAAGGAGCAGAGCTGATGAGACATGCACATGAGCAGCTGCGAGTTTAACAAGGGCGACATGTACATCCGCGACCTGCGCAACACCGAGTGCGTCGCCCTCCCCCCCCTCGTCCTCCACTTCTCCTCCCGCTGACTCCCATTCACCCCTCCCTCGCTCCCCCACCGCAGCGGCCACGTCGCAGCCGTCACCGCCCTCGCCTGGCACCCCAAGAACCCGTCCCTCTTCCTGACCTGCAGCGCCGACTCGACGCTCCGCATCTGGGACAAGGACAACCGCCGCAAGAGCAAGAGCGTCATCGTCGTCAAGAGCAAGGAGCGAGGCGGCAAGACAAAGGTGTCGGCGTGCTGCTGGAGTCCGGACGGCAAGACGATCGCGGCGGGTGCGTCGCGAGGGTTTCTCTCTCTCTTTCTCTCTGCGGTCAGATGTAGGGAGCTGACACGCTGTGTTCGAACAACAGCATGCGAGGACGGCACGGTCCACATGTGGTCCGCAAGCGGCAACTTTGCGCGCCCGAACGCGGTGCGTCCTGCCAACTCGGTAGTGTGCCCTCGCGATGCAGCGCTGACGCGCACGCCGCTTACGTAGAGCTGCGAAGGTGCACACGAGAAGGGCACGACGACGAGCTCGATCGTCTTCTCGCCTGACGGCAAGCACCTCGTCACGCGCGGTGGCGACGGAACGCTCAAGCGTGCGTAGGGCCCCCATCCCCAACCTCCTCCCCTCGTCTCGCTCCCTCTCCACCCACTCGCTGATCTCCCGCTCCCCCTTCGCACACTCTCGACAGTGTGGAACCCAAAAGCGCTCAAGAAGCCCCTCGCCGTCGCGTCGGGCCTCGCCGTCCTCAACAGCGAGACCAACGCGTGCTTCTCGCCCGACGGCGCGCTCGTCCTCACGGGCACGGCGGGCGCGCACGCGGGCGTGCTCGCGGGTGGACAGGAGGAGGAGCGCGCGAGGGAGCTCGAGAGGGAGGGAGGCGTCGGGAGTGGCAAGGTGGTGGTGTTCCGGACCGAGGGGCTCGAAAAGGTCCGGGAGATCAGTGCGTCGCCCTGCCGTCTTGTGCGCAGCTCCGAGCCCTCGTGACTGACGCAAGAGTCGCGGCCCACAGGCGTGTCACCGTTCTCGGTCGTGCGCGTGCTGTGGCACCCCAAGATCAACCAGGTGCGCCGCCGCCCCCCTTTCCCTCCCTCTTCCTCTTTCCCTTCCCCGCTGAACCTGAACCCCACGCGTACGCGCGCGCGCAGATCCTCACCGGCTCCGCCGACGGCTCGATCCACGTCCTCTACTCGCCCGCGACCGCCATCAAGGGCGTCACCCTCGCCGTCACGCGCGCGCCCAAGGCGCGCCAAGTCGACGACTTTGCCTCGGCGTCCATGCTGACGGGCGAACTCGGGTCGGTCGACCGCCCCATCATTGCGCCGCACTCGCTGCCCATGTTCAAGGACGATGTCGGCGCGGGGACGAGCGCGGGCGGGAGGGGAGGCAAGAGGAAGAGGGAGAGGGAGAGGCATGACCCGCAGAAGACGATGAAGCCCAGTGCGTGCCCTTTTTCTCTCTGTGGCGGTGTCGTGGCGGTTTCGCTGCTGACACATGCCCTGTGGACCGCGCTCGCAGTGCCGCCTGTGCAGGGTCCAGGAAAGGGAGGCCGCATCGGTGCGGCCGCGACGCAGCACGTCGTGCAAGGATTGGTGCGCAACACGATCCGCGACCAGGATGTGCGACCCCTCTCTCTCTCTCTTACGCTCCTGTGCTTGTGGCTGGGCACTGACCGCGCTGCTGTCTGTCCCCCCCCGCCTTGATCGCTCCCGCAACCCGCCTCCGCTCCCTCGCGCGCCTCAACTCGACCCCAACAGCCGCGCGAAGCCCTCCTCAAGTACGCCACGGCGGACCCGAACGACAACACGTGGACCAAGGCGTGGGCCGCGACGCAGCCCAAGCCCGTCTTTGACGACCGGCCCGATCCGGAGGACGACGTCGAGGAGAAGAGGGGGAGGTGAGGAGGGCTCTGGCGGTTGCGATGCCCCTCGCATGCAGTGCTTGGCGGGGGTCGCCGCGCTTGGATTGCAGTGCTCGACGGGTGCTGTCCTCTTTTTGCGCAACATTGGCTGTGCGCTCGGGCGAGCGCGCGAGCCTGCAAGCTGCCGCGTGTCTGCGCCTGCTTGGGGCTAATCGCGCGCAGTTGGCGTATGTGCCTCGTCCGTTGTTGCGAGCGAAAGAGTGTGTGGCGGCAGGAAAAGAGCCGGGCGGCAAAAGAGAAAGCAGTGGAGAACCAGGGAGTCGAACCCTGCGCCTCTCGCACACGGTGGTGCTAAGCGAGCGCTCTACCGATGAGCTAGATCCCCGCGGTACATGCTGCCCAGCCTTGATCTTGCCATACACATAAAGCATGATGCAACGTGGCTGTGCATCTGAAGCTGGCAGACGGCTGCTGGTACCGTGCGGACGGGCACCCACCAATTACCGGAGCCGCGAGCCTGCTTGTGCGCTTCGAGACCCACCCATTGATGAGGCTCGTCTTGTCTACGCCGCTGTCGCCTTGCTGTCGCCGCACGGGAAGGCCCTGAGGGGGAGCGAGGCTGCGTGCGATGAAGCGCGCGAAACTCGTGCGGCGGCTCAGATCTCAGAGGGCGAAACCTCCGAGACTTGGCCGCGACAGCGAAGAGAGCTCGTCCCAGCTCACGTCTCCCCGCATCTCGCTCAACTCCCCCTCAGCTGCCCAGGGCTGTCCAGCATGGCTCCAGCCAAGCGTGCACCCGCACAAGACTCGACCACCAAGTCGCGCACTTCGAAGAAGCAGCGCACGCAGAAGCACCGCTCGCCCTCTGTTGACGCCCCTGAGCCGCAACCCGCACTCGGCGACCCCAGCACCCTCCGCCAGAGCACCGCACGCCCGAAGGACAAGGATGAGGAGGAGCTCGAGCTCGAAGAGGCCGTCTTTGGACGCAGGAGCGGCCAGACTGAGGTGGGAGCGTACGACCTCTCGGCGGAGGACCTCGAGGGGCGCGGCAGGAGCAGGCGGACAGGCGACTTTGTCGACGACGTCGACTACGAAGACGACGACGATGACGAGGAGACGGGACTCGAGCGCATGCGGGACGACAGCGTGCGTGGTGTCGAGGCTCCTCTCGTGCTCAGCCCGTCGAGGCCCCTCTCTGACCCGCTTTGGACGCCCCGCAGCTCTTCTTTGTCGACGTTCCCCCCACTGCCAGCACGTCGGCCGCACAAGCTCCGCACTCTCCTGGTTCCGCCGCCGGTTCTTCCATCGCTGGCGACTCGGACTCGGACGAAGAGGCGGCAACAGCGACCAAGGCCAAGGCGCTCGTCAAGTCGCGCAACCTGCGTCAGGCAGCGTGGCACGACCCGGCGGACGAGAACCTCCAGATCAGCCTGCAGGGGCAGAAACGCCTGCGCAAGCTGCGCGACTCGGCGGCCGAGGACGTCGTCAGCGGGCTCGAGTACGAGAGCCGCCTGCGGAGGCAGTTCGTGTTGCTCTCTTCCTCCAAGTGGTCTGCTTGGTATGTGACTGACCACGCTCCGTGCGACAGGTTCGAGAAGCTGCACCCGCCGCCTCAGTGGGCCGTGGACGCGCGACGCAAGATCCTCCGTCGCCGGGCCGCGCAGGCGCAGCACGGCGGCAATGCGGCGCTCCTGGTCGACTCGGACGTGTCGGACGCCTCGGATGACGGCGAGGAGGGGGCGGGCAGCGCAGACGAGCGCGACGAGGCGGATGAGCTGTTCAGTCGGGCTGTCGTCGGCGGCAAGGGCGGCAAGAAGGTCAAGGGCGGCAAGCTCGAGCCGGGAGAGATCGACATTGACCGTGTCCGCGACGCGAACCAGCACGAGCAAGGCTCGGTGCGCTCCCGTTCTCTCTCTCTCGACCTCCTCTCGCACCGTCGCTGACTGTCGGACCTCACGTCATCGCAGGGCCCTGTCGTCGAGATCGGCTTCCACCCGCGCGCCCAGGTCCTCTTCTCTGCGACGTCCGACCGCCGCCTGCGGCTCTTCCAGGTCGACGGGACCGACAACCCGTTGCTGCAGACGCTCCACGTTCCCGAGTTGCCCATCACCTCGGCCGCCTTCCACCCCTCGGGCTCGTCCATTCTCCTCACGGGCCAGCGCCCCTTCTTCCTCTCGTACGACCTCCAGACCGGCCAGACGCTGCGCTCCCCGCGCGGCCTGCTCAACGCCGGCCTCGGCGGGTCCGACAAGGCCTCGACGGGCGGGTCCGGCTCCCTCGAGCGGTTCCGCTTCTCGCCCGGCGCTGGGGACGTCCTCGCTCTCGCGGGGCGACGCGGGTACGTCCACCTCGTCGACTGGGGGTCGAGCGGCGTGTCTCGCGGTGGACAGGTCCTCGGCGAGGTCAAGATGAACGGGGCGGTCAAGGCGCTCGCGTGGCAGCGCGAAGGGCGAGAGCTCCTCACGCTCGGGGACGACAGCGAGGTCTACGTCTGGGACATCGGCACGCGCAAGTGCGTCGACCGCTGGAAGGACGACGGCGGGTTTGGCGCCGCCGCGCTCGAGACGAGCCGCGACGGCAAGTGGACGGCGGTCGGGAGTACGACGGGCATCGTCAACGTGTACGACGACGCGAGCCGGGGCACGTACGCCCAGGGCGGGGAGCGCAAGGCGCGAAAGGCGGTCGAGAACCTCGTGACGGGCGTGTCGACCATGCGGTTCAACCACGACGCGCAGCTGCTCGCGCTCGCAAGCAAGACCAACAAGGACCAGCTCAAGCTCGTGCGTCGCGTCGTCTTCGTTCATCGTTTCTCTCGACGACTTGGCCCTGATTCCGCTCACTCGCTGACGACCCTCCTTTGTGCGCGTCGCGCAGGTGCATCTTCCGACATGCTCCGTGTACCAGAATTGGCCGACCCAGCAGACGCCGCTGCATCACGTCACTTGCGTCGACTTCAGCAAGGGCAGCGAGTGGCTCGCTGTGGGCAACCAGCGCGGCAAGGTTCTCTTGTACGAGGTCAAGCAGTTCGCGCGCGGGACGAGGGGCCGCGTCAGGCGGTGAGGTGGTCGCATGAGATGACTGCATTGCGAGACGATAATGGCGGAGGACAAGGTCCGGTGTACGAGGTAGGGGGACTAGGAGGAGGAAGAGAGACGGTTCGAGCCGAACCACTTGCCGCTTTGCTCCCGCTCGAGCTGCGTTTGCTCATCTTCCACCTCCTTCTCTTCCCCTTGCTCCTGCCGCTTCTCCTCATTCGCCTGCACGCCGGCCGCGCCTTCTTCGGCGGCAGCGTCAGGCCGCGCGGACCGCCCGCTCCGCACGCTCGAGATGGTCAGCTCGCGCTCGAGCTCGTCCATCAGCCTCGTCGACTCGGCGTCGTCGCGCGCGCTGGTGCCGTCGTCGTCGTCCTCCTCCTCTGTACCATGCCCATGTTCGACAGCGCCCGTCCGGCGAGTGTCGACCGAGCTTGGCGACCCCGGCTCGCCGGGCAGCGGCAAGAGCCTGTCCGCCTTCGCCACCACCGGGGCATCGACGATCTGCCCCGCGAAGCTGCCATGTCTGTCGCGGCCCTCGAGGGGCTCGCGCACCAGCACAGGCGACGCAGCGGCGGGGCTCGCGCCGTCGTGCGCTTCGTGCGTGCCGCTCGAGGCCGTCAGGGCCGAGGGGGCTGGGCTGCTCGACACCGTGGGCGGCGGAGGGGGATGCGCGGGGACGGGCCCGGGGAAGGGCATGAACGAGAGACGCGGGGAGAGAGGGCTCGCGATGGCGCTCGCCGTGGACAGAGGGTGTGCCGGCGCGGGCGCAGCCGCCGGCGGTGTGGACGAGACGGGACTGAAGATTGCTGGCAGAGGCGGGAGCGACGGAGTCGTCGTGACAAGGTCGGAGACACAGACAGGCGGGGGTGGGTACGTCGCCGGCACCGGGGCAGAGTCGTACGGCTGCGAGGCAGCAGGAGGTCGTGCCGCCGCCGCCGCCTGAGAAGGTTTCGCCGCCGTGTCCTCCGGCACGCCCTCTGCCTGCGGGTAGTCGCCGCCAACGATCGTCGTCCAGCTCCTGAAGCTCGCTGCCGAACTGCCGACGACGCTGTCGGTCCGTGCCCCTCTCGAGCTCGCCACCTCGGCCTCGTACTCCTCCCTTGTCGCCGCCCCGACCCACGTGCTGCTCGCGAGGCTGTCAACGCGCATGCGACCTTCTGCACCGGGGCCTCGCCCGTAGGCGTGACCCACGCCGCCGTCGGCCTTCTCGTTCTCGAGGTCGACGTCAAAGACAGGGGCGGAGAGATACGTTGCAGAGTTGAGGAAGAGCTTGCGCGGAGGTTGTTGAGAGGACGAGCCGCGGGCTGTGAGTGACGAGGACGAGGAGTGGAAGGGCGTGAAGAAGGCCTCGGTGAACGAGGCGCCGCGACGCAGTCGAAGGATGCCCCGGATCAGGACGAAGGGTGTGACGATGAGGACTGGTAGGCCGGCGACACTGTGCCGTTCGCCCGTGATCAGTACGTTATGCACTCAGCCACGGGGCGAGAAAGCAGGGCACGCACATCCAGTGGACTACGACGACCCAAGTCGGCACCGGCTCCCCGACCCTCTCCTCGTACTGACTGAACCCCCACGTCACCTCGAGTCCTCCGACAGTCAGCAGCCCGATCCCGAGCGCCATGTGCATCCAGTTGGACAGGCGACGCTTTGGCTCGGGGAGGTCGCGCCCGTTTTCTGCTGCGAAGCGCTCGACGACGACTTGGCGGTGGTGCGAGTAGTAGCCAACGAGGGTCTGGACGGCGAGGGCACCGAGGAGGACGTAGCCCGTGATCTGAGCCGCCCCCTTTGGTTATCAGCGAAGGGGCGCGAGCGAGACGAGAGGGGCCGACGCACTCGGTGTTTGAGCTCGACGTGGCCGACGAGGCCCTCGCCCGACGCAGCCAGGGCACCCATCAGCACCGAAAGCGCCTGTGCTCGTCCGTAGTTAGTGCAAGGCGGCAGAGGAGACCCAGCGAGGGCAGAGGTCGACGTACCGTCGCCGGCGCGACCACATAAAGCTGCAGCCGCCAGTGCGCCTTGAACCACAGCGAGCCCCAGCTCTTGCCCACAGCGGCGATGACGACCGCAAGTGGTGCGACGACCTGGAAAGCGAGGAAGCCGAGGACCGCTGGTGCGCCGGTGCGGGCGGTCAGCGTGGCGCTCGCGGGGGAGGGGGAAGAGGGACACGCTCGGACGTACCGTGCAGCGCGACGAGGCGGGCGTAGCGCTTTGCGTCGCCTCCGGGGGCGGCGGAAGAGTCACTGGGGAAGGTAGGAGCCCCGAGGATCGAGTGGTCGTAGCGAGGGGCGAGGAGGACACGGTCGGCGGAAGAGGCGAGCGCAGCCGCGGCAGCGAGCAGGAGCACGAGCGA